TCCTCTTGTCACTGCAGCTTGCTCCGTGGAGAGCCAGGGAATTGGCAAGAGAGTCCGTGAGGATGAAAGTCTTTGAGAGCAGACCAGCATCTTTCATATATATCTTTCTTCCAGAAGGAATGTGGACAAGCCTAGGGAAGCTGGATTTGTGTAAATTAGCCCCATCCCACTCTCTGTAGGCCATTTTATTTTAAAATCTATTCGACAATCAATGCCATTAGCTCAACAGATGGCTTGTTAATCCTTAGACCAAGAGCCAGATTTTAAATTGCCTTCCATTTTGCAAACTCTTCTCAGAAGAAAAAAGTAAATGAAATATAAAAGGAAAAAAAAAAAGAATTTCAGCCCAACCCCAGGGAGACCCACAATGTATTCATTTCAGACCTAGCTTTTAAGGTCAGCTTCAGCAAATTTTTGTCAGTTGGATGCTCATATATCTATAGGCAAAGAAAGTAAATGCATTGATTCTTTTTTGAAAATAGTGAGCAAAATGCAGAACATTTGTCAGCCAAAAAAAGAGCATAACTCTCAAACATGATCAACTCAAGCAGGATCAAATCAAACCTTGCCATTAGTGACAAGCATACATGTTTTCTCTGAACTTGGGGACAGCCTTGAAAATACATCTAATAATTTACCTGGAAATCCCAAAGCTTGGCCATCTCTAGATCAGATTATGTAAAGATTTTGTTTTCAGTGATCTCACTACCTCTTTTCCTGATGCTTTCAGGACCCAATTCCCCACCATGTTACCCCAATGTACACATGGACACGCTCACACACACACACACACACACACACACACACACACACTTCTTAAACAATTCAAACTAGCTTCTGGTTCTTTTAATATTAAATAAATTAGAGCCATAAAATAGGGATGGGTTTTCTTTTACTATCTCCAACCCATGATACAGTTGGACCCTATGTGCATCTTGTGGCCTCAAGATTATAATTTCTCTGAGTTGGCAGGAAAAAGTGTTAGACCTTAAGGAGTGCCCCTGCCAGATCCACGTGACCCACTAATTCATTTGGTGCATCTGGGGCCATCCATACGAGTGTGGGCAAATGTGGGATGAAGAATTCAGGTCTTCCTCTTCCCTAAATCCTGATTCACCTATTTGGATTTGGAAAAGGGTTGGGGAGGGCATTTACAAATGTGTGGCCAATGAGTTTGCCTTTGGTCTGCTTTGTCTGGGTCAGACCAGCCAACTTGAAGAATCAGTGACATCACTTTGGGAAGAGAGAGAAGATCAGACAGAAGCAGGGGCTCCCCTCCTGCTGGCAGGGCTGCACTTGACCACTAGGGGTTTATGTGGCTCCTCAAGGAAATACATGCTAATCAACCCTCCCTCCCCAGGAAGCTGCCCCAGATCATTTTCTCCATCTCTCCCCGGAGAAGCCAGATCTTGCCTAGTGTTGAGCATGTTATCTGGGGGCTGTTTGTGAAAGGAAAACAGATGATCTCATCCTATCTTGAGGGAGCAAGCAGCTTTTTAGAATCACAGATATTCTTCATGACAACCCTCTGACAATGTAGGAACCTTAAGTGCCTTCTGAATCCTCAGAGAAACTGCTGCTTAGAGCCGGGACATTTTCATGGTATCTATATTCTTACTTTGCTCTGTTTTTTTGAAGACTGGGGGACAGGGCATTGGGAGAGGCAGCTGGTGTCCTGTGAAGGACACTGGATGGGGAATATGGGCATATGCGTGCTAGTGCCCACGGCTGAAGGGTTTCCATTTTAGCGGGTGAGAGCATCTCTAGGACTCTTCCGGACCCGAGATTCTAGGATTTCGCCTATTTCTAGTAACCTGAACATTTCATTAGGCAGAATTTTCCATTCTCTAGCTGTGCCACATAGAGGAGGAACTTACTGAATGAATTGGAAGTCCCGAGCCAGTGAGGAAAACCTACCCACATCTCAGACTGCCTTCTGCTTGTTGATGTCAGAACAAGAATTATTGTGGGTAATCACTGAAGGACATAAAAAAGAACAACGTGTACCTGGCAGAATTTGTATATCAGTGCGTTGCAATTTGCCAAAGTGTTCTTGAAGTTATATCTTCCATTACATAACTTTTTATCACTTTCTTAAAAAATGTTCCAGTTGGGCTGGCATGTTTTATGATTTGCCTTGCTTCAGAGATAAGCACATTGTCAATGATTAGACGAAACTTCCCAGGTATTTTTGAACTGAAAAGGTTGAGGTTGGCAGAGGGACGCCAAAGGAGGGGGTTGAGCAGAGAAGCTGGTATTTAAAATATTTAAAAGGCAAGATGGTATGTATGCGCCTCAGATAATAAGATGTTAGTGAATTTCAAAAACCTTACAGTCCTAAAATAGGTAGCTTTCCATGTATATAAATATGTACAAGGGTTCAGAAACTTAAGGAGCATACTGGGATCGAAACCAAAGCAGGCATTTTGGGGCTTTTTCTGTTCAGCCCACTGTGGGCCTTAGGAAGCCACTCCTTAGCATCGTGTGCTATTGGTCCAGTAGGTTGGAACATCCCTACAAGCTGATGGGAAGTGTGTTTCCTTCCAGTTCTGGTCATGAAGGGGCCTTATAGCCTGTTATTGGTTTGTTTGTTTGTTTTTTTAAAGAATTAATTTTCTCCTCCAGTGGCTTAACCACTCCGATTCATGGCAACCTAACTTGAAGTTGTTTTTTTTTTTTTTTAAACACTCGTACTTACAGCACTGTTAACTGAAAATCTACACACAGAATCCAGGCAGGTGAATGATTATTAACCTAGGATGCACCTCTTACCTCCACGTATGCACAGAGTTACCAACCCAAAAGTGGGAATTTCACGTTGCCACCTCTGAACCAGCAGGTGACTATCTTACAACACTCTTCAGAGATTTTTTTTTATAGGTACTTTCACCTGACTAATGTAATTGGCCATTAGGAAAATAAACTCTTATTAGTATGAATATAAAGGTTATTTCGGAAGCAGCCGCCTGAAATGGATTATGTGATTTGTGAACGCTTTCCTAAAACGAATGTGACTCACACACTCAAATAAACGCAATTGATTTTTTAAAGGGCTATCTTAGCAATGGCTGGACTTTCCTATTCTTTAGGGGAATAAAAATTTGCATTCAGTTAGGCATCTCTATGTGGTAGTACTTACAGAAATATATTATAATGTTGTCCTCCAGGGGGCGTTAAATCTTTAGCAAAGCTCCAATTTCTCTGGACGGCGTTCAAACCCAGTTAGCAAAAGCAGACAGTCTGGCTTCTTTCTCATTGGGATGCAGAAGTGCTAGGGCCCATATTCTGAACTTCACATCTCAGACTTGCAGACAAGGCCTTACATTTTTTAGTAAAGCTAGGGTGGGTCTGCCAATCTCCTGGCCCTGGGGTATATGACAGTATAGCCTAGACATGTCGCTCTGAACACTCTACTGCGGGTCTTGGATTGGCCGACTCTCATGGTCCATGTCAGTAAAATTTTAAGAGACTATTGATATGGATGGGAACTGCTGTGCTTTCCAAGGGCAGGAATGTGATTCCTGGAGGCCCCAAAGACAACCTGGTGTGGGTTGGAGAAGGCTCTGTGGGTCAAAATTGCAAAGGACCCATCCTTCCTACTTAAGCCCCACAAAGGGCTATTTTTGTTGTTACTTTGTTAATGAGAACATCACTTAGGAAATCTGCAAACCTCTTGGTCTGGGGAACCAGCAACTTCAGTAGTAAAGTCTATGATTGTAAAGCAATACAGTACAGAGAGTAAGAGGTTTCTAGGTTCTATAATTGACTGACAGGATTTCAATATCTGCTATACTTCTTATAAGGCTAGGATCTTGAATTAATTGCTGAAACTCCTGTGTCTCTGATCCCTCATTCACAAAAGACTATCTCATAGGGTAACTGGAAGGATTAATTAATACAACCCAAAGAAAGTAGTGGTGCATCCTGAGTGCTCCATAAATTCTATTAGTCATTCTTATTCCCAAAGAATTGAGATCCTCCTGATATGGCTCCAGCTGTGTCTCTCATTACTCCCCTACATAGACTTCTTCATCCCAAATACCACCCTATACTTTTCACCTCTTTGCTCCCCCTGGTTCATCTATCTTCCTTGCCTATATCACTATCTGATGAGATCCTGCCCAAGTTTCAAGGGTTATCTGTAATGGCACCTCAAACCCCCCCCCCCACAATTCCCTACTCAAGAACTGAACGAGCTTTCTCCTATCTCTGAACAGTAGCAGAGATGCGATATCTTGATATACAGGTATATACATTTGTCAAAACTTATGGAACTATACACTTAACATGGCCACATTTTTTTAGCATGTAAATCATACCTCTACAAACCAACCCAGTAGGAACATTATAAGAAGGTCTCAGCCTTTGGAGAGAGAAAGCCGTACTTCAAATTCAAGTTCTAGTACTTTCTACCTGTTAGGCCTTTGAACTCCTTCCACCTGTAGTTTTCTCTAAAAGGGGCAGTTGTCACGTCCTCCTTTTGTAGTGAGGGTTGAGAGACACAATGATACAAAATGCCTCGCACACAGTTGATGCTACACTACTGTTAGACCTTCCTTTTCAGCATCACTCATTCTATGTTACTCACATACCCCTGCCCACCAAAAGGTGATCTTAAGGACAGAATGTGTGCTATCCTTTTCTTTTCCATGTTTCTAGCATAGAGAAAAAGTAGTGTGTTTAGCTATTTATATATAAATATATATATTTATATAATATATATATCCAACTTTTGGATAGCAAACACCTAGCAGCATCCCAACTGAAGCCTCTACAGGATGCCACACTGTGTATTATCACTCGGGTTTGCTAAGGCTCAGTATTTTAAAGTCTGACAGATACTTTCCTTGGTCAATAATTCAGCTACAGCTCCCCGGTGTACAGTAGGGCTTAATAACACAACTTTAATTATGATAGTTCTTTAGGTTCATAAGGGTTGTCTAATTCTCTTGAAAGCAACAGAATGGCCGTACTGTTTTCTGGACCAATAAGTCACTCTGTTTTCCATGGTTCAAAGTTAAGCTTTTATTTGGTTTTAAATTAAAAAAATAAATTTCGTTATTAAATAGTGAGATGGATCTAAGTTATGTTCAGATAGTAGCTTACTCAGGAATATACCACTGGGGGCACAAGTAAGGGGTGGGTCACCTAAACTAAAATGATTTGTTATGTCATCAGGTTTGTTAAAAGTTCAACAGTGGCATAATTCAAAAGAAACGGAGATACAAAGTTTTAAATGTTTACAATGGATGGAAGAAGTAAACCACTTAATCTATTGCAATTGCCAACGAATTTCTTTCTCAGTGCCAGGCTGCTTGGACTCTATACCACAGTGCTAATGTCATCGGGCTCATCTGCTTTCTTCTGCCTGCTTGGCAGGGATTTCAAGTATTCAAGGTGCCTCCGGGCATCCTCCTGATTTTGCCTCACGTAATACACCACATAGGAGATCACCATGGTGAACCAGCCAAACATGGTGACCAGCATGGCATAATCAGTAGTCTTTTTAGGGAGGTTACAAAGGTCAGCATCATTGGCAGCATTGAGGAATGGTCTCCCGGCGTGTTCATCCAACACAGAAGTCTTACAGATCACATTGTGGGCTGTCTCATGGTTAGATGCCATGCTCCTCAGAACTTGCTGTAGAGTACAGTCACAGTGCCAAGGATTGTTGGCAATTCTGGCCCTGGCCTTCAGGTTATTGAAGGCATTTTTGTGCACGCTTTGAATCCGGTTGTCAGACAAGTCCAGAGTCTGCAAAGTTTCAGCTACTCCTTTGAAGGCATGCTCATCGATAAACTCAATGCCATTTTTGGACAAGTTGAGAACTCTCAGTTGATGGAGGTCCTTAAAAATCTCGTTGGGGATAGATGTGATCTGATTGGAGTCCAGATACAATAAGACTGTTTCAGGAGGAAGATCTCTAGGTATTTCCTTGAGATTTGCATTGCTACAGGTGACATTTAAACCCCCAGAGGAAGAACAGAGACAGCCCTTGGGACACATACTGGCAGAATGAAAGCACAGTATCATAAGAACAAAACTTTGTAGGAGGAGACACATGGAGAGGGAACGGGTTAACCACAGGTCTACCAGATTCATGCTGGAATGTCAGCATAATCACAAGCCCATTCCTCATTCACTCCAACAAGCAAGCGTGGCAACCGTTCCAGCCCTGTCCACACTGTTGATTTCCTTCTTGCTTGGTTCAAAAGGTTGCAACTAACACACGTGTCTCTTCATTATTCCTGTCCTTGCTTGGGTACCTAAAGGAAAGGGAAGCAGATGCAATTAGCTTTTTTGCAGAGGGAGGTACATTGCAATTAAAAGTGCTCTCAGGCGTCTGGCATTCTATGTGGGCAGGAGAGTCTGTTATGTAGTTAATTTTCATCGACAGCACTGGGAATTATCTGCATAATGGGAGTCTCCTGCTCAAATCCCAGGTGTTGGGCTACAGGGCTGTCAATAAACGACAACATTTCCGAGTCACGTTGCCTTGGTTTTAGTTGTGCAGAATTACAGCAAACAGTCCAGATTTCTCTCATCTCTACTGGTTCTCTCACATCCTGAGCCCCTTCTAAATTAGACAGCAATAAAATTTAATTAGACCTTCCCCCCCCTTCTACAGTAACAGATGCATTAGTGCAATTTAGACCTGCTCTTGAGCAGCAATGAAAAATAACACCGATATTTCATGGTTAATGACCATAGATAGCAATAATTGTCATGGCTTTTGAATGGATGTCCAATTGGAGTATCTTCTCTAAAGAAACATCTTACTTGAATTAAGAAATGAATAAATGTATTCCAACTTTCACAACAGAATGTGGCTAGGGACTGATAGACCAGGATCTCCAAAAGAGCTGTCTCCCTGTTTTTCTCTGTTTCCTAAACAACCTATCCTCTCCCCAGTAGATCTTCAAATACGACATACACCTCCAAGACTTTTTATTTTTATCCATTTATTTATTTATTTTTAAGATTTTATTTATTTATTTGAGAGAGAGACAGAGAGTAAGTGAGGAGAGGGGCAGATGGGGAGAGAAAGGGAGAAAATCCCAAGCAGACTCTACACTGAGCATGGAGCCCGACACGGGGCTTGATCTCACAACCCTGAGACCATGACCTGAGCCAAAAGGAATAGTCCGACACTTAACTGACTGAGCCACCCAGGCGCCCCTTCAAGACTTTTTAAAATATAAGATAAAATTTAAATATATTAGGGTGCCTGGGTGGCTCAGTTGGTTAAGCGACTGCCTTCGGCTCAGGTCATGATCCTGGAGCCCCGGGATCGAGTCCTGCATCAGGCTCCCTGCTCAGCAGGGAGTTTGCTTCTCCCTCTGACCCTCTTCCTTCTCGTGCTCTCTATCTCTCATTCTCTCTCTCTCAAATAAATAAATAAAATCTTTAAAAAAAATTTAAATATATTAGCCTCTAAGACTTTCCCAATAGCCTATTTTATCTTTCCTATGTGTGTGTGTGCGTATATATATATATATATATATATATATATATATATATATTGTTGGAAGGGGCTTCTAAATGGCAAAAATTAAGTGATATATGAAAGGATCTAAGCTTACTCAAAAACAGAGATGAGAATATAAGTGAACCCTCAAAACTACTTTTTCCTATAGAGAAGACAGGCATCTTTGAGACCAGTTCATGGAGGAAGTGAGTAGATTTTGGAGAGATTATGTGATTCACCCAAGGTCAAATGGTTTGTAGGTGGAAGAGACAGGACTCAGGCCAAAGGCTTTGTTCTGATTTATAATCTCCTAACTCTTTCCACTACCCCCCTCCCAATCTCATCTGCTCTATGAGGACAGTCAGAATCCAGGGAGCATTGCTTGTTGTGATTTCTGATACCGTTATGTTGCAGCTCAATCCCAAACTGAGTACTCTATGGAGTACAAGAGAGCTCCATGTCTGACTTCAGAGCATCATTTTCAGGATATGAGAAACAAGGAGAATGTTCCTTCCTCTCACTGCAGTGAGCAACAAATGACTTTCTGCAAACTTATCTTTTCTAAAGATCCCAGATGGATAAATACAGAGGGAAATGACTCCAAATGTTACCAAACTCACAGAAGAGAAGATTAATGTGAGCTGAAAACATAATGAACGGGGTTGTTAATCATGGAAAAAATGAGATTAGCACCAGCAGAATGGAGTGGATGTGCTTTTGGAATCCTGAGGCCCTTAAATGCCAGAGAATGCTAAAGAAGGACCCCTAGGCTTAGGTAGCCATCCATCAATAGCTCATTTCATTTGAGGCGAGTCTCCCTCCCTTCCATGTTTTCCTTCAACACTGCGTTGCATGACATTTGAGAACTCTAGTGATTGCCTAGATGGGAGAGAGAAAAAATAAACAGGTGTGGAAGGGAGGGCACTCAGAGAGGAAAGAGGGTGGCAGAAGGATAAGGCAAAGGATGCTAGGATGAGGACATGACAAGGACACAGGAGATGGGAGGCATGAACTTGAATAGAGAAAATAAAGAGAGTCTGTGTAATCAACCAGCTCCCATCAATTGAGTAGGTACCACCAGCCTAGGTCCTGCTGGAAAGTGGGAAACCTTCTCTGGAGGATACTCCACATCTCTCCAGAGACTGATTCAGCGTCTATCTGAAGAAAAACGTTCACCAATTGAGACTAACAGTTCCATGAGGGCAGGCTCTTGTGTCCACCTCATGTAGAAACAACAGCAAACAATTAAAAAGTGAAAAGTACACTGGTTTGTATACCAGCTGTAATCCTTGTTAGCAGTGTGCTCCTGGGCAATTTATTTAACCTCACTAAACCTCATTTTCCTTATCTTTGTATAGAAATTATAAAAGGACCCAATTACAGAGTTGATTTGGGAATTCTGTGAGATAATCCACATAAAACATTTAACCCAATGCCTAAAAAGCAGTAAGAGTTCAAGACTTGTTGGCTACAGTTACTATTATTATCCCAGATACATTCTCAGATGCTACCACGATGCTTGGCATTGTTGTAAGGGTTAGATAAATATCTATTGTATGAATGATCCAATAAAATATTGAAGAATCTAGCTGTGCTTTTTCTTCCCTATGATGACTATTTTTATTTTATTTTTATTTTATATTTTTTAAGATTTTATTTATTTATTTGACAGAGAGAGAGATAGCGAGAGCAGGAACACAAGCAGGGGGAGTGGGAGAGGGAGAAGCAGGCCTCCTGCTGAGCAGGGAGCCCGATGTGGGGCTTGATCCCAGAACCCTGGGATCATGACCTGAGCCGAAGTCAGACGCTTAACGACTGAGCCACCCAGGCGCCCGACCATTTTTATTTTTAATATAAACATTGGCTCATCCAATGTCTATTGGTTTTACATATTGACATGGTAGTCTTTGAAAAAAAATCACAAGTGCAGGCTCCTAGTTGATGGAAGGAATAATGGCGCTTCTTTTCGGTAGGCTCCTTGAGACTTATTCTTGGTTATCCAGAATGATCAGTCCATTGGTCATGGTAATGGCCAAGAAATGATTAGTACACATTGTGAGTTCTCAACATCAGAGTGCAATACCTCTTCATGTCCAAATGATCCACCTATACACTGAATAGAAAGCATATTAGGAACACCGTAAATACAGAGTATCTCTTGCATTCAGAGATGTTGGACTCTAAGTATTTCATTTTCTTTCTATGATGTTTTACAAAAGGGAAATAAAAGCTCTGGGATTGGCTAGATGACTAGGCTGCTCTGACTCAGCCTCTAGAACCTCCACACTCAGCCAGGACAAAGTGAGAAGAGAACTGAGCCCTTCGATGTCTAGGAGGCAGACAACAAGGGCCAAAGTTATTGAGTCAAGGTCATCTTCAGCAGGGAGGATGGAAGAACTGCCTCTCCACTCTATTATGCTGAACTACTATTTTCCAAAGGGATTAGCAGCTTGACATTGTCTTAAATTGCTGGATAGGTCAAGAGGGGTTCTTGGAAAAGAAAGACATGGCAGATGTGCCTCACATAGTAAAAACGTGGGTATTCTTCTGACATCGGTTACCACCCAGCACTGTACAAAGCTAAAGAGCAGATAACTCGGAAACGAACATTCTAAACCCCAAACTCCCTCCTGTTTTGTTTCAGTCAGGTCTACTCAAAAATGCGAAGTAGCAAACAAACCATCCTTTTGGGAAAAGAGAGTGCCTCCTTTTTAACTTCAGAATGAGGATATAGAGCACAGAGAAGGGCTGGGGTCACACTGGTAAATGCAAGAACAGAAGCAGCATCACTGCCTGTCCTCCTGATAAGGAACAAGACCAGCAAAAGGGGCAGAGCAAATTAAACAGCATCTTTTCTACCTCTTGACTCTCCCTCTCCACTTCTCAACTCATTACACTACCCTATCCTCATTCCCTCATTCCCTTCAAATATGTCTGAGGCAGGAAGCTACGGTATTTTTGGATGTGGTATTTAGGTATGAGCTGTGCTCCCAAAGGGGGCCATTTTATCCACATACCCATGCCTTGTTCACATTTCCCTGTCACACAGGTTTCCGAGCTACCACAATTAATGCCTGGATTGGGTGGCAACCATCAAGTGCTGTTTCCAGAAGGAAAAAAAAAAAAAAAGTGCATTTAGCAGACTGCCTGAGAAGACAGATCTTTCAGAGGTTGATTAACAACTCTATCTTGCTTCCTGTTCCTTTCTTCTCATCATTAGGGGACACTCAGGGACACTCAGGGCTTCTAACACAAAGCTTTCATTAACTCTTCTGAGATAAGTGAGTGTACCAATTCATGAAGAAATACCAGACACACTGATTTCTCCCAATTACATTCCATGAAACTCTGCTGCCCACAAGGATTTGATTAAAAAGCACAACACAGCAACACAGGAAGTCCTTTTGATTTGGGAGGTAAAATTCAAATCAATGGAAAAAAAAATAAACCTCATAAATTAAAGTACTTGAAATTAAAACTTCCATATGGCAAAAAGTAAGACAATACACAAAATGAAAGGACAGATGATAAAATAAAGGGTCGATTTCTTTAGTATACAAGAAGTTCTTACAAAGGGATAAGAACCTGATCCAACAGAAGAATGGACGGGAAAACAATATATACAAATGACCAATAAATCGTATGAATAGATCCTTGATCTCACTGACAGTAAAATAAATTCAAGTTAAAGTACCTAACATCTTGGTTAAAATGAGGAAGAATATCTACTGTCAGTTAAGGTGTAAAGAACAAAGCACTCTCAAAACTTGAGATGCAGATACTTGGGGTACTCTTTTT